GGGACAAACATTTGTTTCATGCGACAAGTCCCTGCGACTGGTCGCACGAATTCAAACAAGTTTGAATTCGTGCGACCAGTCGCAGGGACCAAATTTTGGTCCCTGCGACCACAGAAATGTGTAGTTCACACGAAGGGACTAGTCGCATGAAACTGGTCGCTGGGACTAGTCGCAGGGACTAGTCCCCTCGTGTGTGCCGACCTTAATAATGAACCATTATACATGAAAGAGAACTGCGTTTCCGCGTTGTAAACCTGTTTAGTTACCTCTTGTTATGCTAAATTTGCCATGAGTGAAAACTAACTTGACATACCACATTACAATGTAACTTTGATAGGTTTCCTGGCCACGTCTGCATGTGAGAACATCACAGTGTGAAAAACGTCATGTGAGAACATCACAGGAACGTTTTCAGGTTTCTCAAAATATAACGACATTCAGCCCTTGCCCAAAACTTAGACTAGCGTGACAGCAAGCCCTCGTTACGAGCCCTTTAATACGAGCGTTTCTTCGTCCACGAATAAGTTTTGGGCCTTGAGTACAGGGGCGGATCCAGTAATTTTTGATTGGAGGGGTCCAAACTGTGGTTCAGAAATTAAGGACTGTTGGACTCTTTTGAGGGAAATTACTTCTCCCCCACACCCCTCCCACCCCGTCCCACCAGTCGCGGTTGCACGTTATAATTCCTTGCCCCTTACCGTTTACTTAGATTCATTAAAAAGATCAGCCAGTTAGAAAGTGATATATGATCCTGTCGATGTAAGAATTTCACTTTCAAAGTTGTAAGCGTCGGGTCTGTCAGGGGAGGTCTGGACCCCCGGACCCTCTCCCTGGATCCGCCACTGGACATGGGCTCCTGACTGGAGTAACACTAGATGAAGAGAGGTTTTCAGGGGTCACGCGCGTGAAAAAACAAAGAATTACACTTCCCTTTCAGGAAGGCAATTTAAACGCCGTAGAGTTGACGATTTGCAATTTGTTGAGGAACAGAAGAAATCCGCTAAACGAATTGGTGAAATAGCCTCTTTTTTTTTTTTCAGAAAGTTTATTTCTTCCGCTGATATGTAAGCCGTAAATTTCATGGTAGGATGGTGGTGTTTTGGACATCTGGTCGCGAAGAAATTCTTTAAATTCTTCTTGACGGCTTCCTTGTGCTAACTTTCTTTTGTCGTTTAATGCTACGAGAATGGGCCATGCAAGCTTCTCTTCACCTAGTGTTACTCAAGGCCCAAAACTTATTCGTGGACGAAGAAACACTCGTATTAAAGGGCTCGTAACGAGGGCTTGCTCTCACGCTAGTCTAAGTTTGGAGCTGGGGCTGAACGTTGTTATACTTTGAGAAGCCTGAAAACGTTCCTGTGATGTTCTCACACTTACAAGAATATGAGATATTATTGTTAAATCAATGCAGACGTGACCAGGAAACGTATCAAAGTTACAATTGTTTATTGTAATGTGGTATGTCAAGTTAGTTTTCACATGCTGTGCGACTTTTTATGCCGCGACTAAAACTCATGGCAAATTTAGTAGAACTAAAGGTAACTTAACAGGTTTACAACGCGAAAACGCAGCTATCTTTCACTTATAATGGTTCATTATTATTGATACCTCTCAGTAAAAGAAAAAAATTATTAACACTTATTTAGGCACGCGCGTTATCGTCGTAGGGATGGATTGATGAGCCAAGCGCTTGAGTGTCTTTGTACAAAATTCGTGCAACATGCCCTGACATCCGTTCCGTGCTTTAGAATTTGGGCTCATTTTCCGCAGTTCCATGTTTTAGGATTTAGGGTCATTTTCCGCCGTTCTGTGTTTTAGGATTTGGGGTCATCTTCCGCCATTCCACCATTCCACCGTTCCACCGTTCTAGCTTTTAAGGTCGTCAGTTTACGACA